GATGCAGTTTTTGACATCGTCCAGCTTGATTCATCTTCCACTCTGGCATTACCCATGTCCACTGTCCTTTTGCAAGCTACAAAGGCACCATGGGAGAAACCTTTGTCAGCCCCGGTGTCAACAAGACAACTGGACCATATGTACAGAGTCCAAGAGACAGGGGCTGAATTCCTATTCTCCCATCCTCAACCAAACTCTGTGGTTGTAACATCCTCCTCAAAATCTAAACGAACACACTGCACCTTCAGGCAGAGAAAGTAAAAAATTGGACGCCTTCAGCAGACGCTTCTATTCCACCGGAGCGTTGGGTGTCAAAACCACTAACTATCTGGCCTGCATGAGCAGGTATCAATATACTCTCTAGGAAAGGTTCTCCGAACTATTGACCCACCTTCCAGAAGACAAGCTTCAGGCAGCCAGAGTCATTCAAAAGGAGGGCATGGTGTTGGCAAAACAACAAATAAACACTTCAAAGCATGCCCTAGATGCATCTTCCAGGATGATGGCCTCTGCTATAGCACTCCGGAGACATTCCTGGCTCCGCAGTATGACTCTCCCTCTGGATACTAGGTCTTACGTTGAAGATCTTCCGTTTGACGGCCTTGGCCTCTTCAACACCACTACTGATTCCACACTCCAAGCATAAAGGCTTCGCGAGCTCTAGGAGTGTCACCCTCTGCGAGACAACAATACCATCCCTGTACCTGGTCAAGGTCTTGGCAGAGGCGTGCGCCAAGTCGTCAGTCTCCAGACAGACAATGGAGACCACGTACGTCTTTGGGAGGTCAAAAACCTCCATACCAAAAAACGAGGTTTGGATCTGGACAACAATCTTCCCATACCAAACAGGTAAAACCCTCCAAGCAGAGTTTTTGACTTCCCTGTCACTGAGTCAGTTCAAACCCATCTATCACCCTTCCTTCATACTTGGCATCACATCACCTCGGACGAATGGGTGCTGTCAATCTTGACCCGAGGCTACCGTATCCAATTCCATGAGAACCCCATTACTCCTGTCGTCATCTCCACACACCCTTCCCCACCTCTCCTGGAAGACGTGTCCGTCCTTCTGCGGAAGGGAGCCATTGAACAGGTACCACCACACCTCCACGGGACGGGGTTTTATTCCCAATACTTCACAGTCCCGAAGAGAGATGGAGGCGTTCGACCCATTTTAGATCTGAGGGCACTGAACTGTTTTGTAACCTACCATCGCTTCCGCATGGTGTCCTTACAGCAGATTATGCCACTCCTACGGAAACACATCTGGATGGCCACCCTCGACCTCCAAGACGCGTACTCCCACCTCACCATCCACCCCTCCCACCGCCAATACCTACGCTTCGTGATTGGTCAACAGCATTACTAGTATGCAGCCCTGCCGTTAGGCCTGTCCAGCGCCCCAAGAGTCTTCACGAAGACTGTGATTGTGGTTGTGGCTTTCCTTCGTCTCTGGGGTATCTCCATTTACCCCTATCAGTAATCAAAGGGAAATGTATTACGGTCCTCACGGACAATACCACCGTGCCCAGTTATATAAACAAACAAGGAGGCACAGTCTCCCTACGTCTCTGCAACCTCGCCATTCAGTTATAGGACTTTTGCATCGCTCACGACATCTTTTTGGTAGCCACACACATCCCAGGTCACCTGAATGTGCAGGCAGATCATTTAAGTCAAGCAAGGCTCAGTCTCCAAGTCGAGCAAGGCTCTTCCGCTGGTGGGGATCTCCCCAAGTCGATGTTTTCGCCACCAGAGCCAACAAAAAATCTCCCCTATTCTGCAGTTGAGGCGGCAGGAACTCACAATCACTCGGAGACGGACTCCTTCTTCCCTGGTCCTCAGGCCTTCTGTACCTTTTCCCTCCTTTACCCCTACTTCTGAGAGTGGTACGCAAGATCATCTGAGATGGAGTGGACTGCTTGTTGATAACACCGTGGTGGCCGAGACAACCATGGTTCTCTACAGTCCTCGAGTTTTCAAGGGGAATGTACCACCAATTCCCTCCGGTACAGGACCTCTTCTTCTTGTCAGACTCCCCTCTCCTACATCACAACGTACCACGCTTGAAATTGACGGCATGGAGAATAACGTCAAAGGTTTTTCAACCCGCGTAGCCAATGTTCTACTGAACGCCAGGAAACCTGCTACATGAAGGTTCTACCATTATAAATGGCAATGATTCTATTCTTCCCTAGGTGATGATGCCCCTCGAGCCTCCTCCGCAGGCCTCGAGAAAGTTTTCCAATTCCTCCTGTCCCTAGCTGACGCGGGACTTTCCCATTCATCCTTAAAAGTTTATTTGGCCGCAATTTCAGCCTACCATGTTCACGTCGACGGATGCACCATGTTTTCACATCCGCTTTCGAAAAGATTTTTTTTAAGGTTTGTTACACTTCTACCCTCCTGTTAAGACTCCTGTCGCTCCCTGGGATCTTCCTCTAGTCCTTCGTCAACTTACGAGGAAACCCTTTGAGCCACTCGCAACTTGCAATATGAAATTCCTGTCTTGGAAGACGGCCTTTCTAGTGGCCATCACCTCTGCAAGGCGAGTTGGAGAAATACTGGCTTTCCGGCATGACACGCCTTATTTGTCATTCTTGCCAGACGGCGTCCACCTCGTCCCTGACATTTCGTTCCTGCCAAAGGTAGTGTCAGAGTTCCACCTACAGGCAGAGGTCTTCCTCCCGGATTTCTTCCCAGCTCCGAAATCCCCAGAGGACAGACTGTTACATACCTTGGATGTCAAAAGGGCACTAGTGTTCTACCTCATCAAAACCCGCCCAACGAGACGTGACTCCCAACTGTTCGTCTCATACGCACCAGCGAGGCTGGGGACTCACATCACGGCTCAGCGCCTCTCAAAGTGGATTGTGGGTCTCATCCACCTCTGCTACTTGATTGCAAGGCAGCCGTTGCCTGGCCCCATCAAGACCCATTCAACCCGGGCTGTTGCGGCTTCCATTGCCTTCCTCCAGGGAGTGCCCCTGACGGACATCTGCAAGGCTGCTACCTGGGACACGCCTAACACCTTCATGAGGCATTATGCCCTGGACGTCCGTAAGAACTCTAATACCAACATGGGACGTCACATTCTATCTTCGGCGACGCAGTAAGGACCTGCCAGCACCCTCCTCCAGGTAGGCCACTGCTCGCTAATCTCCCATGGGTGTGAAGCACAGAGACCATGTTGAAGATAATCTGGTTGCTTACGTGTAACTGATGATCTTCGAGTGGTCATCTGTGCATTCACACCACCCGCCCTCCTTCCCCGCTAGCAGCGGGGAAGGAGGGCGGGTGGTGTGAATGCACAGATGACCACTCGAAGATCATCAGTTATAGGTAAGCAACCTGTTTTTTTACTAGTCTATGACTGTAATAAATGATTGATCTGCAAAAGTTTAAGCACTTTGATATCCCTGGGACTTAATGGGAAAGTTTATGCACTTGTCTGTTGAGTTGAATAGCATTTAAAAGTCCTCGACTGTAGCAAGATCATACCATAGATGAGGGGTGTCGAACTCATGAGGGCCAGTTCTGACATAAATGAGACTTTGTTGGGTTGGGTCATGTGTGTCATAAAATGTAATGCCAGTTAGCGGAGATATAAACTTTATAAAGGACATAAACACATTTTTTTTACTTTAAATAAAACATGCTTAGAAAACTAGCACTCTTGCAATATTTTGTTTATTTAACAGTCTCTGATAACTTACACCTCTTGCTCTGAATTATTACATCAAAATGTCTGTGCTGTAGCAATCTTGAGTATGCTGTTCAGGTGTCTATCTGTAAGTTGCAAACCTACTTTTGATTTATTAGAACAAATTTAGAGTCCAGTGTCTCCTTTAAGACCAACAAAAGATTTATTCAAGGGATGTGCTTTCGTGTGGAAGGGACACTTTTTCAAATACATTGGAATGGTGTGTAAGGTTCAAACGTATAGACAGGGAAATTAACATGCAACATGGTGATGTTTAAGATATGCAAAGTCCAAAATAACAAGCTAAGATTATACGGTCAACAGCTATAAAGCAATAAATATGTCCGAATAGCAGGTAAATGTTCAAAGGTGTATTTTCTAATTGTGGGAAGCAAACCAAGAATCTCCATTCTGTCCTCCCAGGCGTGAAGATGACTTTACAGCACTTTTTGAGGTGGATGCAGGGTCATGTCAGCAAAACATCCCAATATTCCTGGTATTACATTCAGTATTCTAATATACTATTCTGAAAAAGACAAACACTAAAATACAGAGGATTTATAGTCCTTCTTGTTGAGAATACATATGTGAGGACTGAATGAGTTAGTATATGTAATGAGATAAAAAACCAATATCCCTGTTGAGTCCTGGGGAGGTCTTTGTTCCAAGTGTTGTAATAACTTGTAATTCAGCAATTTCCCTTTCTATTCTGTTCCTGAAGTTCCTTTGTAATAAAACAGCTACTCTGACATTCATTACAGAAATCTCATGTTCAGTATTCTGAGCCTAGGACCCAGGGGAAAATATGAAATGGCTGGGCATTGTGAGCTTTTATACATAAATTGCTTCATGTGCTGGTCAAGAACATGAGAAGGCATCCTGACACAGACTGAGGGCTATGTGTTTGTCTACAAAACTATAGTCTTCCCCAGAGAAATAACTACAACTCCCATGGGGAAGTGCAAGAACAGAGAGACAGTCAGTATCAGCCTACTGTCTGGGAAGTCTAAATTCAGAATTCCCAGTCTACAAAGGAAATGTGCTCGGTGAACTTGGTCTGGACACATTCTCACCTTAATCCACGTCACTGGCTTGTTGTTATTCCTCATCTAAATAGCTCACATTGCTTTCCTACTGAGAAAGACTAGATCATGAGGACTTGAATACAGTGATAAAAGGGAGGCAAACCCAGTTGCATCCAAGAGAGCCCTGGCGTAATGCGCCCAACAAATATCTCTCTCTCTCTCTCTCTCTCTCTCTCTCTCTCTCTCTCTCTCTCTCTCTCTCTCTCTCTCGGCAAAAAGCTCATATCTTGACTAAAACTTTATTGGTCTTAAAGGTGCTTTGTATCTCTCCTGCGCAACTGAGGCAGCTGAACAAAGCAAGGCAGGAGGAAGGGGAGGAGCCTCAGCCAATGGAGGGGAAGAAATGCTTGCCTTTGTCTTCTGTGGGATTGAGGAAGCCTGGCCAGGAAGCAAGCTCTAACTTTGGAGGGGGAGGAGCCTCAGCCAGTGCAGGGAACAGAAGCTTGCCTGTCTATCTCTTCTGTGTGATTTGAGAGAGTCTGGTAAAGCAAGCGCGATGCAGCGGCAGAACTGGAGAAAGAAGCAGAAGATAGCCAGTTCCTTGTGGGCTGGATAGGAGCCTTTTGAGGGCCTGATCCGGCCTGTGGGCTGCATGTTTGACACACTTGCTATAGATACTTCTCCCTGATCAAGTACTATATAGTTAAAATCTAACTGTCCGGTTAAAATGGGAAAAACACAAATAGTCCTTTTTAAAAATCACTTTTAAAACAAATTGAGTTCACTGGGATTTTGTCCCAACAAAACGTGCAGTGGATCAAACCGTTAATGTTTTTTATTTTTTCCATTAAGATTTTTCACATAAGATAGTAAATATAACAACTAATTCCTTGTAATGCTACCCCCTCCCCCACCCTCTTTCCTAACATAGCCTATCAACAAGAAGTAAAAGCTGCAAATTCAGGCATCTAAGAGTAGGGAGTACGAAGGAGGGGAAAAAGGAGTGGGAGTTTATGTTTGGGAGTAGTTAATTAAGAGAACTATCTTGAGCAGATCTGCTCAGAATCCTACTCAGGTCTATCCAATGGGACTTACTCCTAGGAAAGTGTTCTTTGGATTGTGATGGATATTATATTTATTTGTGTGTTTGTGTGTGTATAAAAATGAGTAGTAACAAAAGAAAATGCAATTGATATTTAAGACCTTGAATTCACTAGACAGAAGATTTAATACAAAGTAAATATATTTATATTTGTAATGCTGTGTGATATTGTTAAAATTCCAGTTCTATTGATTAAAAAGGATTAAACAAATAGTAAGACTTCTTGCAGTGTTAAACCTCTGATGATCTTAGTGTGGCAGTAAACAATAGTCTCATATGTCTTTATTTAAAGTATGCCAAATCTTGTTATGAATAACTGTCATTTTATTCTCCTTTCTCCAGATCGTAAAAAAGATCTTGTAAAACTTCAAGCAGGAGAATATATTTCTCTTGGTAAAGTTGAAGCAGCTTTGAAGAATCTTCCACTGGTAGATAATATTTGCGTATATGCAAGCAGGTAAGATAGCTGGAGTACTTGTTATTATTTGTGCTAAATTGGCAAAGTATTCAAGACCATTTTTCAGTGCTTAAAGAACACCTTTTAATATGTATAGATTTAGTGCAAAGTTTGACAGGAGAATCGATTCCTGCTAACTCAATCATTACAAGACTTTGAACAAGCACCGTTTGTTTGTTTGTTTTAATTATGGGTGACCCTTCAGAAATCTCTGTACCATATGTAGTATGGTGCATTATTGAACTTTTTATTATTGTCATTTGTTTTAACATTGGATCAGATTTGTTATACGGATTCAACCCTCTAGGGTTGTCACAAATTTCTTAGCGAACCTGTTTGGCAGTCAAACTTACCTGATCAAATATTTACAGTTACACTGTGAGCTGATCAGCGATGTGTTTGGATTGTATTGAACAACTCTAACAGCTACCAAACCAGTTTGCACCTCTTTGTTGATGAGAAGCCAGCTCTCAGTTGATTTGGGGGTAAGCTGCAAGTTGGGTTCTCATCCACCAGACCTCAGCAGAATAGCCATAGAGTAAAATTGCAAAAAGGAGAGGAGAAAGAGCTTGTTTCTCTCCCCTCTTCTCCAAGCTGGGTGGGAACAGGAGCAATACTTTTAATTTCTGCATTGCAAAAGGGAGAGGGAAAAGAGCTGATTCTCCACCTCTAAGCTGGGTAGGGACAGAAGCAATGAAGCTGAGTTCTGCATTGTAAATGGAGGAGGAGATCGAGGTCATTTCTCTCATTTTTTAGCAGCCCAAGCTAACAGCTGGGGGTGGGGAGAAGAAAAGGGAAACCAGCTGGACTTCTGATCACACACACACACACACATACACACATTTCAGTAAGTCTGAGAGGCGACAAAGTTTCCAGGGTGGGGTGATCAGAAGAGCCTGAGTTCAGGTGATCAGCTGGGAGTGGGCTCCTCATTCCCTCCCAAGAAACTTTTTAAGGTACAGAGCAAAATCTCTGTAGTTGGAGAGCAGAAGTTGACTCCCAGTTTATCCCTTATCAGCTGCAAGATGGCTTATGATGGTTGCAAGTCTTTGTTTCCCACAAATATACATGGAAAAGTTGTGAGCAGCTTTCTGATTAATTGGCTGCCTGATTACCACTGAGAAAAGTGAAGTGAGTCGAACTTCATGTGTCCAACCCTTCCTATCTTTCACGGAAGAAAAAGTTTAAACAAATAACAGTGCAATCTTAAGCAGATTTCAGCCATATGACTCCGGTTAGGGTGAGGGAAGGGGGCATGGCATAGCCTGATCTCGTCGGATCTCAGAAGCTAAGCAAGGTTGCCACTTGGAAGGGAGACCACCAAGGAAGATTGTGCAGAGGAAGGCAATGGCCAACAACCTCTGCTTCTCACAGCTTGAAAACCCCTTGCATGGGTTGCCATAAATTGGCTACGACTTGTAGGCACTTTACACACACACACACCCCTCTGCTTAGGATGGCACTTTAAATGCTTCAACACATTTCTGAAGAAGAATGGCTTATGGGTTGTTGTTTTTTGAAAATTGACTGAATCAGTGGTCTTGGAATAAAAGACTCCCCAGTTTACAGCCTGGCTACTTATAAAGCTGTCTGCTGAGAACCCCAAAGTTCTTCCTACAGCTAACTGGATGGGCAGGGGATTCTAGAATGCTTCAGCCATCACATTTCTCTGTCCTGCCAGGAGTATGGGATTGTTCCTTGCATAAAGAAAGGAGTCATGTTCAATCTACAGATGATTACTGGGTGTGGGGGGGTGAGACAGAATAGAGGAAATCCAGCATCTCCTGGCTGTTGAGCTGATTGTGAGAGGAGACTCTCAGGCAGCTATCACATGTAGCTAGGCTCTTGGGTCTTCCCATGCAAAATGTGCAAGATCTTGGTGTGGGTTTTTTGTTTTTCTTTTGTATTTTTCATATGTGCATGTGTGTGCACCTGGAAGTCATGGCGACCTCTGGTGACTGACCCCTACTGGGGGCCTGGAGGATATTCAGAGAGGTGGCTGCATAAAGTCTGCCCCCACCTCCCGATTGCTGGTATTCCAAGGAGGTCTCCCATCCCAAGTACTTGCCTGTGTCGACCCTGCTTAGCTTCCAAGATCTGATGAGATTGAGCTTGCCTGGGCTATCCAGGTCAGGGGAAAATGTGCGAGATTTTGAGTGGGTCGATGCATGCCCCTTATCCCAGACCACTCCATCCTGTAAAGCAGTAATGTCTGTGTGCATAACTGCTCTGCAGAAGTGGGAATTTGGGGGGAGGGGTATTTTTGCATGTGTGTATCTGTGTGTGCCTGTGCCTAGAAATCATGGCGACCCTTGGCGACTCCTACTGAGGCATGGAGAATGTTCAGAGAAGTGGCTTGATAGCCTGCCGGCTGCTTCCCGGCTCTGGTATTCTTTGAAGTCAGTCTCCCATCCAAATACTTGCCAGGGTCAGCCCTGCTTAGCTTACGAGATCAGACAAGATCAGGCTTGCCTGGGCCATCCAGGTCAGGGCCACAAGTGGGAAATTTTTAATGTAATGCCACATCTGAGAACTTAAATATAAGTTGTCATTTCTGTAGAAGTCCTATGAGCAGCTGATATTTGCATGGCTTTTTACCAAATAAGTGTGTATTCTTGTTGTGAGGATGCCGCTTGTCCTCCTCTTCCCCGTGATAAACTGCATATTGTGCGGGTATCATGAATGCAAAGCTGAGGACAGGAGGCGGATTTGTGATTACTCATTGCAGGATGGTTGCATGACCCTGTAGTAAGAACTTGTAAACTAGAGGGGTGTGTGAGTGTGGTGAACTTTCCACAGGGACGCTGCCTTCACGAGCATCCCTTTGTCAGGATTAATGTTTGCTCAGTTCTAAGATTTGTATTTTATATTCTAGGAAAAAACATTCAGAAAAAAATGTGATGAAGTGTTAGAGAACTTTATAGTTTCATAAAACAAAGAACAAAAATACGTCCTTGATTTCATGTTGATGTATATTGATCATCTTAGTTTCCAGTCTTACATCATTGGATTTGTTGTGCCAAACCATAAAGAACTTACAGAGTTAGCAAGAAAGAGAGGATTTAAAGGAACACTGGAAGAGATATGTAACTCTGCTGAAATGGAGAAAGAAGTGCAAAAGGTTTTAGCAGATGCTGCTCACACAGGTAAGCAAAGGACAAATATTGGGTGCATCTTTCCCCCATGAAAACAAATATTAAAAATGTAAAACTACTGCATTTAAAAGGAACAATTAGAAATACAGAAGAATCTCCCTAAAATTAAGTTAGTTTTTGTTATCACAAGTTGTGTTGCTGAAATGAATCCAATACTGAAGTGCCCAAAAAAGGGCAGTTGAACTGAGAATACTTTGGATGTTCAGGGCAGAGACCTTTGCTCTTCCATGCAATGGAAGAGAAAATCCAGTTCAGGACAGATAGTACAACATCATTTTTAGGAAACAGACTCTTAGCAGTACATATCTCCCTACTGCTGCATACCAGATCCAGGGATCTAAGAAGCAGTGGGGGCACTTCTTAGCTATATGGTGACTTGGGAATTAATGCTATTTTAAAGCAACACCAAGAACAAAGGAATGAGAATGTTAGGGCACCAGAGGACATAAACAAGAATCCAAGACATGTTCAGTGAATGGGGCTTATTCTCAGGAAGGTATTCTTTGAATTGCAGTGTATGCCACTAGTGTTTTATATCTTTGGAATTAAAAAATTGGGAAAGAATATTGCAAAATTTATAAAGTAGTCTGTAGTCCTCTGAGCTGCTGTAAGCAAGTAGCAAAATTTAACGTGGCATATTCAACCCAAGTTCTGGTACCTCAGCAGTGCCTTCTCTCTCTCTCTCTTTTGTGAAAGGAGTGCAGAACAAAGACTTTGTGTGGTTCTGAGAATATTCTATTATTTTGCAAGTCATTTGATATGTTTTAAAGGTTCTAAATTGTTGTGTATCTTATTATTTTAGAACTTTGTTAGGTACCAGGAGGGCTTATGTAAGGCAGAACAGCAGTGGAAAGAAGAAGGAAAAAAATTCTATAGCCAAAGATCTGTTAGGCTGCCCAGCAGTGCTTTGAGACAGTATAGACCTCCATCTCTTTCTTAATATAGCAAGTAGGACTAGGTGAGTGTTGATGGTTGGATGCTGTACCCCTTTTGGCAAGTCCTGAATGCTGTTTTAGCTGCATCAACACCAACTAGTGCTTGTGCAAGTTTCTCTTGCTAATCATACTGTCGCTCATATGCCTTCTAGACTGACTTTATGGATCAGCAAATTCCACAGAACTTTAGGGACATTTGATCTGTGTATTTCTTTACATTCTGCTTCTTGAAGTTTTATTAGTCACCATTCTTTTTTTGGTCATGCTTAATTTATGTTTAATTCTCATTTTGAGTGACACTTCCCGTATCTTTTACAGTTGATGTCTTGCTTTGACATGTTTAATAAAGAGTTGATTGGCAAAACTGTTAATGCTTACAGAGAAGTAGCAGCACCACATAAAAATGATAAAAAGGGCCAAAACACCAACTAGTGCTTACTAGCTTACTAATTACCGTTACTCATTTTTTTGCATTGTTCAGTTTTCCCCACAACCTGATATACTAATGCTGTGTGGAATTGGTCGAGCTTTCAAGCATTCAGGCCCTAACTCAGAGGCCCACATGCACTGTCCACATGGATATCACTAGCCATTTATTGAGTGAGAGCAAAAGAGCCTGAATTCCTTCTAATGTATCCCTAAGAGATCATTACTGCTGTCAGCACCAGTCAGCTGTTAGGAATATAATATGATGAGTATGCTAAATTGTTAGTGTTGGGTAAGTTGACCTTTTTCTGTCATTGCAGCAAACCTGGAGAAATTTGAAATTCCCCTGAAAATTCATTTGTGCCCTGACCCTTGGACCCCAGAGACTGGCTTGGTGACAGATGCGTTCAAATTAAAACGTAAAGAGCTTACTGCATACTACCAGGCAGATATTAATCGAATGTATGGAACAAAAGTAAAATAATTCTTCTTTTCTTGCACCGGTTTGCTATGGTGAGCTCAGATCAAATAGGAAATACTTGAATCACATGTCTCATCACTTGGGACCAACATAAAAAACATCTTTCATCACTTTCAGCTTATGCTGTTACTTCTGATAATATCAACATCTTTAAACTGGCAGGATTAGTAAAATTTTAAGGCAGCAAACTTGTGTCTGTCTCCTTTTTTCCCATTTCCTTTGCTACCTTGTCAGTGTGTGACTTTTCCTAAAAGTCGTCTTGGATGAACATGATTTTGAAGCCTCAAGTTTTTAAACCTGATTTATAAATCCTGTACAATGTTCTGTTTGTAACTTTTTGAAGTTTGGATATATAGAGGGATAACTTGGCTATATGATTAGTTTGGGGGCCTTTTTTACATAAGTATTTAAATTTTAAAGAGAGATCAATGTGAAATTATGTACAATTAAATGACCTATAGGTAAAAAATCATTGTTGGCCAGAAGACCAGATTATTTGTTGCTGTGCAATTGTTTTGTATAAACTTACAAGAGAAATAGTCTGATATTCTGATGTTATACAACAACAGCTAAAGTATGTGCCTGACAGTTTCCTCCTACATATATATTTTATTTTTTATCTGAAGTAAGGGAAAATGGTCATGGCAAAAGATTGTATATAACCAGGTGTACTTGCAGAACAAGCTGTTCTGAGACTTTATTCATGCAAAGTTTTCTCTTTAACACAGCAAATGTTACATCTAAGCTAAATCTGTCTAACAGAAATAGTTTACTTTTTCAAAATGTATTGAGGCCATTTTATAAAGAAAAAATAGTGAGAACTCAGTTTAAAAAAGAAATGCATCCTGATGTTTGACAATGTCTTTTTCAAAAGGTGAGAGTTTTATTTGTATTTTACCAGCTTTACAGTTCAGGCTTGCTGTTTTGTTTTGCACAAATCAATACTTATAGTCCAGTTCAAGGCTAGCTGAAGGCCAAATGTTCAAGAATGCAGTCCATTATGAAGTTTTCCTGCAAATTCCTAGACACAATGGGTTGAGGTTGCACTCCTGCAAATCTGTCATGGTGGGACTTGCAGAAGAAAAATGTATGGTGGATTGTGCTCTTTGTGAAGGGAACTTTTCAGATATACAGGGGGTGGTTCATGAATGCTGATGGAAATTTTAATTACCTAGTTGGTCGAATCTTGTTCTAGGGACATTATGTTGGACATCAGTTTTGCTCATTTTCATAAAGAATCTTTCCATGTTAAGCATGCATGGGATCATAACCTGTGTCTCATTTATTTAGATGTTTCATTGTTGTGCCCAAAACATTTAGTTTGAAAATAACTTTCATTAGAAATTAACATGTTGGCCTCCATAAAAGTAGAAACTAACTGCAGAAAGCTTTGGACAGGCAATTGGAGATGAATATAAAAGTGATTTTCTTGACATTCAAGAGAACACTGCAGTCCCTTTTTCTTCCAGAGTTCTGTATGTGCAGCTGAGCCTCATGGATCTCCAGATTAGTGTGCTGAGTTGAAAATTCTGGGTACCACTTTAGTCTATACTTGGAGAGCCTTTCACCAGCATATTTTTTCACTATGATATTAAAAATACGTCTATATTGGCAACTTGATGTGATGAACAGCATCCATTAGTTTTTATCTGTGCACATATGGAAAGGCTTTAATTTGTAAGAATTGACTTCCTTTCCTAGAAAAGTACTTTACCTTTACTTTTACCTAGAAAAGTATAAGAATTGTGGTCTTGGATCTACATATAGGTAATGGGTCTTTAGACTTTTGATACAATCCAGTCAGAGTTAATCACTTTTAGATCCTGGTACCTGCAGTGGGAGAGTTACAGTGCTACCCTATGCTGTATGTATGACTTAAAATGCTGTAACTCTGCTTTGAATGTTACTGTGAAGCAGTTAAAGTGCTCCCATTGAAGGCAATATATAAGTGTTTATTTAGGGTTGGATTATGTCCATCTTGTACTTACTACAATCCATAATTGCTGTTTAGTACTCTTAGAAAGCTTTAACTTGACATATTCAGGAAACAAATTTACAGTTGTGGTTTAATTGGAAAATAAATTTTGAAACAAAGAGAGTGACATGTGCATTTCTCCTGTGGAGTTTTGTTTCACATTGACAAGCAGATGTTTTGTAATAGCTAAAATACATTTTGAGTCATTGCTTGGCAAATGGAAATAACTTGCACTGGTGTTAACTCTCAAGAGTCTTATTCATTTGGCATCATGGAATGAAATTCCAGTGGATTTATTAAAATCTTTTAAAAGGTATGAGCACCCAAGCCATGCATCTGTAACTGAAGCATTTGTGACTGAAACCTATGGCTCTTAGGTGCCCTCTGCAGATAGAACACAGCTGACTTACGTGGCCTTTGCAAATATGTTATGTTTTTGTTTAATGACTGAGTTTCCATATATTTGGTTCCTTTATTATGGTAAGATGATAGAGAGATGTTTCAATAATCCAGGAGTGACATTTGTGAGGGTTTTTGTATTTCAGCACAAAACAAAACAATGCATTCTTTGTAAATGTTAAGTTCCATGTTTACTGGTTCCAAGGGACCAATTCCTGCCAATTGCTAGGGTTTTTGAATTAGATACTAACATTTTATCTTTAGGAATGAGAAACCAATTTAGTTTTTGTGTGCATGACTATGTGTTCTCTATTGAGGGGGCTTTATATATGACAATTCATATGGAAGCTATTCCATGTTCACAGGGAAGGAACCAGATAGCCTAATGTTTGGTTACTTGTAATGTCTCGTGACTTCCATTGAACGGTTTTAATACATGTGGGTTCTTTTCTGCTTTTAAGATTCAGGTAATAAGACCAAACCAATCAAAGTGAAATGATCACTCCCCCTTTGATTACTAAAATTATAATGCAGGAGTTCCTTGCAGTTGTTTTGGAATTTTCCCTAATTGTCCTTTAATACCTTTTGACCTGCTAAACTGTATTCAGTTTGTGACCCTCCTCTAGCAATAAACCATGGTGGGTTGCTTTGCCAAGGGACAACAGATAAGAGGAAAGTAATTTTTTAGGAACTAGACCTGGAAGCATGTACTGAAACTTTAAAAACTTAAAACACTTGCTACTAGAAGAGAGCTGCTTATAAATTTAAAATTTCTAGTATTTCAGGGTTAAACTAGAAATTACATAACAGATATATGGAACAGCCCCCCACCCCCAAGCTGGCATCTGCGTTTAACGAGAGGCTGAAATCTTGAACAAATGGCAAGAGGGAGGAGCTGCTTAACCTCCCTTTTCCAGCTGTTCTGCTTAAAATCTGCAACCGCACAGGGAGAGATGGTAAGGAAAGATACTCTTTGCAAAACTACTGTGACATCACTGTCGATTAGAAAAAAAGATGAAGAAGGAAGGGTTATGTGGTTCTTCCCTTGCTGTTCCTCCTCATTTGGCATTAGTCATTTCCAGTTGCAGAAGTTATGAAAGATAGATTGCAGCATTAAAAATTAAAGCCTCTTTACAACTTGGTTGTTGTCTCTCCAAGGTGTGAATCCATGTGGCTGTGGTATGTGGGCAGGGCTGACCTAATAATTGCCTCACTAGGAACACTGTTCATAACTATATGGGGTCCTGCCACAAGGGAGTAGCTCTGACGTCGGTGGATAGCCTGTACACAGAAACTCACGAGAGTGACTCTGCCATTTTAAGCATTTTGAAATTCTGCAGGGTTTAAACATAAGCCATTTTGGTCCAAACACTACACGTATCTTGTAACAAGGATAAGCAAAGCTTTTTGTGGAGATGGGCTGGAGAAGATGTCAACCCAGCACTGCTTCTGCCCAAAACCTATTCATTTCACCAAGATTTGTGACAGAGACCCATGCAAGTTTCACTGAAAGGAAAACAGCAGCAGTGATGGATTGTACCTCTATATGCCAGAAAAACCTTGGACAGTTTTACTGCTGCTGCTGCTATTGCAGTTTACAGAAATCACATCTATTTACCTCAAGGGAAAGCTGTCTTTTTAGCAGTACAATGTTTGCTGAAGTTGGCTAAAAGCAGTGTGCAATTAAAATTCACAATGAAGCCTGTAAATATATTATAGGCTATTGCTTTTAATAATGATGAAATTATTTTTGAGTTGTGACATTAATGTGATTCATCCGTGGTAATTTATATGGCAAATTCAACATAATGGGAATCCATAGAAAATAACTGTTTGTTGCCAACATACTCAAGGTTTCTTTTTCCCCTCCTTTAGACTTCCTCTTCCTCATCGGACTCATTTTTTTAAAATTGGTTTTTAAGTATGTGATACTTGTGTTCTTCTGGGCTTGTAAGAGAACTGTATACATCTGTTGTCTTCTAAACTGGCAAAAGGAAAGAATATATACACATTAGACCAAGCTAAAAATGTAACTGGATGACCAGTTGTTTTGTTATAGTAATTGATTATTTATGTAAATTCATTAATCTTGGTTGTTATTCTGAACTGCCTGAAAATGTGTCTATCATAACTCAGTTATATTGTATGAATTATTTATTTGTAATTGGACATTTACACTTCAAAAATAAAATTAAAATTGAGTTTCACGAGTTATCTGTTTCCAGCTTTTCACTCAAGGGGTCTTAGCTCCAAAAGGGGTCTTAGCTCCAATCTTTACCTCGTGACAGGAATGGGAAGGTGATCTGTAGCTTGGAGGAAGGGGAGGATCTAAACAGAGAAACACACCTCCGTTATGCTTTTAGCATCACCATAACCTGCCAATCAATATAATGATTTCATTCTGTGTTCGCATGGCATGGCATGGGGGAAAGGGAGGTCTGTTCCTAGACAACATCTCTTCAGACTAGAGGTGAGGAAATCACATCATTTAGTGTTTCCTTGTGAAAAAAAAATCCCTGAATCAGCTATTCTTGTACATCAGAATGAAAACTGTGCCAGACTATGGGAAGTTTTTTGTTTATTACAGTTTCAGAGGGTAGCCATGCTGGTCTGCAGTAAAACAGTGAGATTTGAATCCAGTAGCATTTTAGAGGCCAACAAGACTTTGGGGGTATAAGCTTCCAAGAGTCAAAGCTGGCTTTGTCAGATACATATAGGAGTGGAGATCCCTGAGCCCTTATACCACAGTCAGAAGGTAGGAGGGATGTTGCAGAGAAGGGAGTCAGGATGCAAAGGTACAGTGCAAAAATAATCAGCTTGGTTAGAGAAGGGATAGAAAATTAGCATCTGTAGTAAGATAAGAATCACATGCCCATTGACTCTAGCTCTCAAAGAAACAGCTTCCCTTTCCACTCAGTTAACAAAAATCTTCAATACAATTTAATGGCTGGCACTGGCGGTTGTAAGAACTCGCCTGCTATGTCTTTTAAATAGAACTCCACCTCCTTCCACCATTCTGCCGTTAAATTTTGGCACATGTGCAAATCTCCTCAAATGACCCGGACCTTATCTGACACTGTTACTCCCACGCTGTCAATAGTTTAGGGGATTTAATTGTTTTCATCTGTTTCTTCTTTTAAAAATTCTTTCCTCATATTTCCACAACAGTGAGCAGAGTCTCCTTAGTTTTTCTTGAAAACATGAGTAAATATGATTGTTCTGGGGAGCCTTATTTTTCCAATAGGAATACTCATCCCATATGAACGATTCAGACATCCCTAGATCGCAGTACTCATTGTACTTGAAGGCATTTAAGATTTAGAATAATTTGACAAACTTGGGGAAATTAACAACCAAAGCATTTTCTCCTAAATCCCCAATGATGACATACCAGAGGTCAGACTAGAAGATCTCTTATTCCAGAAGGGACTGCAGAGAAAGAGGACAGCAGTAGCAGACAA